GACATGTTGAGTAAGAAGTTGCTGTGGCTGGGGTCAAAGAAGTTTTTGCCTGCTTTCTCCTCTAAGATTTTGATGGCTTCCTGTCTTATGTTTAGGTATTTTATCCATTTTGAGTTTATTTTTGTGTATGGTGTAAGAAAGTGGTCCAGGTTCATTCTTCTGCATGTCTCTGTCCAGTTTTCCCAGCACCACTTGCTGAAGAGACTGTCTTTATTCCATTGGATATTCTTTACTGCTTTTTCAAAGATTAGTTGGCCATATGTTTGTGGGTCCATTTATGTGTTCTCTATTCTTTCCCATTGATCTGAGTGTCTGTTTTTGTGCCAGTACTATGCTGTCTTGATGATTACAGCTTTGTAATACAGCTTGAAATCTGGGATTGTGATGCCTCCTGCTTTGGTTTTCTTTTCAAGATTGCTTTGACTATTCAGGATCTTTTCTGGTTCCATACAAATTTTAGGGTTTTTTGTTTTAGCTCTGTGAAGAATGCTGGTGTTATTTTGATAGGGATTGCATTGAATGTGTAGATTGTTTTGGGTAGTATCGACATTTTAACAATATTTGTTCTTCCTTTCCAGGAGCATGGAATATTTTTCCATTTTTTTGTGTCTTTTTAAATTTCTTTCATAAGCTTTCTATAGTTTTCAGTGTATAGATTTTTCATCTCTTTGGTTAGATTTATCCCTAGATATTTTATGGTTTTTGGTTTATTTGTTTTTTCATTTGTTATGTTTTTCAGCAGTATTTTCACCTGGTTTTTAAAAAAATAATATTTTGTCCTTCATTGTGCCAGCATCATTCTTATATTTTTGAGGAAATTATACTTATTTCAAATTCTCCACTGTTTCTATTCCAGTAATTCTTCTTTGCATCGTATGTTGTATGGTGTGTAATCTTGCCCCTCTCCCCTAGTGGATATATTTCTAACGTGGGTGGTGATTTTGGCTTCATTACATAAGTATAGACTTAGCTCTACTGTCTAGTAATGTATAGGAATAGAAGCTTAAGCCCTGATTTGTGACCTTCTGGATAAATTTAGAGAAATGAAAAAGAAGATCCTTAGGCCAGATGGCCCAAGTATTATAGAACTGTTCTTACCTAACTTGCCATCTTAAAAAATACTCTTTTTTTTTCTTTTGAATTTTATTTTAAATTCTTTGCAAGGGGCAGCTTTGGGAGAATACTACCTATTGAGATTTATAATCTGTGGTCCATAACATCTAGGGACGAAGGAATAGAGGATAGAGGAACCAATGCTGAAGTGTGGCAGGTCAGCTCTCATGTGTTTTTATTATTTCCTTGCTCTAACTCTACTCTAATGTTATCCTGAGAATACTGGTAGCTAAAACTGTTTCTTTTGATTCTTGTGTCCAGTGGTGACAGGAGGGATAATGCCCACTAACTTATACATTTAGAAATTGAACATTCCAGAGTTTCAGCTGCAGAATCGATAAATGCATTCCTCTGTTTATCTATAGCTTGGATTACATTCCAAGTATGTGCTAGCATAAAGCCAGCTTAATGAACAGTTTCAGAAGAGCATGACTTGTCTTTTTTTTTTTTTTTTTTTTTTTTTGACAAGCTCATTTAGAAGGTAATATGTTTCTTCCCAAATTAATTTCTAAATGCTGGTATTATGAAAGCCAAGTGAAACCCTGCTTAGTATTCTTAGACTTTGACTTAGACCAAGTACCCTCTTTCCTTATTTTGTATGGTTAGAGATATCCAGGGCACATCGAGTTGATGCAGCTAAGTCCTAATAATCTGTTGCCAGATGTTCTGCTTGGCTTTATCTGAAGTGTGGATAAGACCCTCATTGATCTGGCGGCTATCCTAGGATGCAACTGGACATAAGAGAAATGTAAATAAACTGGCCTTGCTGCAGAGGGATTACAGCTAGAATGGCCAACATTTATAAAGTCCCAGTTATATTAAACCTACCAATTTAATGTCTGTTTTTACTAGTTAAGCCCCACTTTCTTGAGAAAGTATCATTCACCATTATCATATTGTTATAATGGGTATCACTTATTAAAACCTTAAGTATTGGCTTTTAAATGTTTTATGCCTATTATCTCATTTAATGGTGAAAACTATCATATACATTGGATATGGTTATTATCCACATTTTAGAGTTTAAGAAAAGTTAGCCTTAGGTCAAGTAACCATCCCAAGGAAACTCTTGTACAACATTGAGAATTTGGGATTTGAACCAAAGCCTATATTTTTGACCACTATATGGCATTGTCTTCCAATTTACCACGGATTTTGGTAGAAATGTGGATTTTCAGGAACTTAACAATTAAAATGTGGCTATTTGATAACATTTCTATATGAGTTGATAGCTCAGTGAATTTGTGTTGGTTTGTAACCCTCTTGGGAGATTCCTGGGTGAAATCTGAAGCTGGCCCCTGTACTCAGAAGGCAGGGACAGACTGAAGAAAGAAGCAGGCCATTCCAGGTTGGCAGGTGGCAGTTTTAATGAGCAAAGGGAACTTGTGTATGAGGCTTGTCTTGGGCAGCAGCAAGACTGTTGGATTCTCACAGCTGCCCATTACATCTTAAAAGTTCAGGGGCGCCTGGGTGGCGCAGTCGGTTAAGCGTCCGACTTCAGCCAGGTCACGATCTCGCGGTCCGTGAGTTCGAGCCCTGCGTCGGGCTCTGGGCTGATGGCTCAGAGCCTGGAGCCTGTTTCCGATTGTGTGTCTCCCTCTCTCTCTGCCCCTCCCCCATTCATGCTCTGTCTCTCTCTGTCCCAAAAATAAATAAACGTTGAAAAAAAAATTAAAAAAAAAGTTTATAAAGAAGCTTTAATTGGGTTCTGTCACATATAACATGCAGGTGTTCTCCACACCATGTCATTATCTCAAGGTTGTGTTCTTGGAGCAGCCTCTTGGGAAAGGCAAGTGGAGCCCACATTCCAAAGGTAGGGGAGGGAGGGAGGAGACTCCAAGTATGGGTCCAGCTCACGAGTCAGTCAGTGGTCATGTCTTTTTGATGATGCTTCCCAACAATTTGTAATAAATTAAAAGGCATCACTAATCTCTGGCTTAGCCACCAAAGAAATCCAGATATTCAAAATAGCAATGGCTTTACATAAAAGACCTTTTATTCAAAATATGATGCACTCTTCAATATTTTCTGTGGTTCTGGAAATTTTCTCTCATAATGGGTCCAATACAGCTTGTTTCTTAAATTCCCAAGAAGCATCATTCCACTCAAGAATATTATCATATATTATCACATATAAAGCATGTGAACACACAAGATGATGTTTCTCTTGTGCTTCAAACAGTAACCAGCATTCTACAGTGCATTAGGATATTAGTAAAATATTTACAAGTACTCAGATTTTCAAAAATGTTTTTAGTTCCTTGGAAATCGAGGCCCTACCACCAACAATTCATATTCAAGTTGTTGTTACCTTAAATCCATGTGTAGAGTCCTTGGTAGGGTAGTCTAATCCCATTTTGTTGCTAACACTCATAATTTGGAACATTCTAAATATAAAACCATATTGCTACTTTATACTCATTTTCAGTTTATGACAGACATCCCTGGCTTATGATATGAACAAAAGCAAAAACCTGGGGAAAAGTTAAAAGAATGGAGTCATATCACAGAAGGTGTCTTTTCTTTTTCTTTAAAAAAATTTTTTTTTAGCATTTATTTATTTTTGAGAAGAGAGAGACAGAGCATGAGTGGGGGAGGAGAGAGAAAGAGGGAGTCACAGAATCTGAAACAGGCTCCAGGCTCTGAGCTGTCAGCACAGAGCCTGACGTGGGGCTTGAACTCACGGACCATGAGACCTGAGCTGAAGTCGGATGCTTAACTAACTGAACCACCCAGGTGTCCCTTCTTTTTTTTAATTGTTTTTTTAAATGTTTGTTTATTTAAGAGAGAGAGACAGACAGACAGAGTGTGAGCGGGGGAGGGGCAGAGAGACACACACACACATAGAATCTGAAGCAGGCTCCAGGCTCTGAGCTGTCACAGAGCCCAAAGTGGGGGCTTAAACCCACAAACTGTGAGATCATGACCTGAGCCAAAGTTGGATGCTTAACCGACTGAGTCACCCAGGCTCCCCAGTGTCTTTTCTAATATCTAACAAAAGTAAACAAAAAGATGAAAATAAAATTATAATAGAAAAAAAAATGACCAGAAACTACCAAAGAGAGAGGGTGGGAGATGTCAGCCATTAACTTGAAAAGATGTCAGTGCTATGAAAAACAACAATAGATCCTGCATAGAAGTGGGAGGCTTTTAACCTTGGCTTTAGAAGCCTCTTCTAACCATAAGTTCTAGAAAGTGGATGTGTAAGTTGACAAAATCTTGAGATTTTTCACCTCATTTGGGGAAAAGTGGACCAAATGAACAAAATATTCATTTTATTTTCCTTTATGGAAGGATGAAAGTATGGCTACAGTTGAAAGATGAATGCATAAGGGAGGAGAATCAAAATTATTGACACTTTGACAGAAGCAGAGTCCCCAGGGCTCCATGATGAAGAACAATACCAATGCTAGATTCCCTTCAAAATAATGCTGATAATATAATTTCCTTTCTTAAAACTTCTCTTGACCCACCAATGTCAACTAACTCCCTAGTTTGTAATTAAATAATACCTTCATCATGGCCTCTCTTTCTTACTCTGAATTCTTATCTTTCCACTCTTCTAAATAGACAATATGTTTTGCCTTTTGACTTTCAAGTCATTTCTGGAAAATAGTTAATTCTCTCCAATTGTTCTTTGTTCTTTTTATGGATTCTCATTTATCTTTCTCTAATAGCACTTACTATGTTATTTTATTTTTTTGTAAACTTATTATGTAAATTTAAAGTTTATACACCTTTCTATCATACTGTGGATTCCTTGAAGTTAGGACATACGCCTTTCATATTTTTATCCTCAAGGGCAAGTGCAGCAATTGAAACATAGTAGACACTCAATACATATTTACTAAGTGAAATATATTTTTCATTGAAATGTATTCTGAATTTTAAAGCTTCATAATCTTCTTGATGGTGTCCTTGAATGCTTGCTTCACTTGCTGATTTCTTAGAGTGTAAATGAAGGGGTTTAATAAGGGAGTAATTGAGGTAATGAGCACAGCTATTCCTTTGTTGAAAGCGCCTTCTTCTTTTGCTGATGGATTGATGTACATAAACATG